GGAGGGATGGTCACTGGGAAGAGGTAATTATGGGGAGGAAGCGGGAGGGGAGCTCTTGCATTGTGGTAAACTGTGGTCAATGACATGCGACAATGTATATGTGAACTGCTGTATGGGAAGTGAATTTGCTCTGTAAATCTTCACCCAAATCAAAATAAAATAAAATAAAAGAGACATCTTTGCTTTTCAACCCTTTAAAGGGTCTTTTGCAGCAGATTTGCCCAACATAATACATCATTTGATTTCCTGACTGCTTCTTCCATGGACATTGATTGTGGATCCAAGTAAAATGAAATCCTTGACAACTTCAATCTTTTCTCAATTTATCATGATGTTGCTTATTGGTTCAGTTGTGAGGATTTTTGCTTTCTTCATGTTGAGGTGTAATCCATACTGAAGGCTGTAACCATTGAATAAAAATGATCAAGGGGGAGAATAATAGATCAGCTTAGAGAGCTGGAGAAGTTGGAGGTTTGTAGATGAATAGAAGTTACTGGGCATTTCAGTTCTTACTCTAAATGATATGGGAAACATTGGAGAAGGGATGTGATCTGACTTAGTTTTTTTTAAAAAAAAAAAAAAGGCCACTGCCTGTAAACATTCAAAATGGCTGCGCCCTCAGTCACTTTAAATATTCAAAATGGGTGCTGCGTGTAAACAATCAAAATGGCTGCACCCTCTGGACAGCAAAATGTCCACAGCTCAGGTTGTCTCCTTCCTTGCTGTTTCCCTTCCTAGTGATAGGCCACCAGAGCAGTTGTCCCTGCAGCCCTTGGTGACCAGGACTGATCTCTAAGTCAATTCTCAGGTCCAAACATCACTTGGAAATACTCAGGCTGTTGATCTCGTCAGAGTAGCTGACAGTCTACAGCTCCAACCGTCTCTGTACTCCCTGTTTTCATTCAGGTTTTTCCACTAGTTGGTGCCTAATCCACTTCTGTAAAGTTTCTTTCTAAGCTCAGGCTCCAGGATTATCTTCTGTATGTCTGTCAATGGTTTTTCTTTTCATTGTTGAAGTGGGTCTGTGTCGCTTGTCTGCCTAGTCCTCCATCTTATCGGAAGTCCTTTATAAGCTTTTTTGACAGGAGGAATTGCTACTTACATTCTTCATCAGCAAGCAAGAAGGACTCTAGGGTTCTTTCTGGGAGTGGAGGTGGTGGGGAAGAACGATCTTGATGTGAATCTATGATAAGGAGAGTATACATAGCAAAGCAAAAAGAATCAGTTAAAATTCACAATCCAGGACCCCTTTTAGCATTGGAGAACTTTTCCAATTATTCATTATTAGTCTACAACCACCAAATAAATGATTTGAACGACTACAGGTAGTCCCTGACGCACGATGGGATATTGTTCCCACGACTCTTATCATGTCAGTTCTGACATAAGTCAAATGCCTCTTTTTTTTTTTTGATAGTTTTGATTATTATTATCTTTTATTGTCAGTATCTTTATAAATGTAATCTCTATCTTTGAACATCTGTAAGTGAACATCTAAGAATGTTCACATGAGGAAGTTATGTGCTACAACATTGCATGTAGTACATGTTACTAACCATAAGATGTACAAAAACAAATACCAGCCAGTTGTAAGTGCAGGATGTGCTAACTTGAATACATTGTAAGTCATAGACTACTTATAAGTGCTTCAAGAATTTTGTTCTTTTTGGTCAGTTTTGGTTAGCTCTTCAACCAATGAGCCTTTGATTTATCAAAAACTTATACCTCACTTATAAAAGGATTCTCCCAAAGAATTTGAACCTGAATTTAATCAAGCTTCTAGATCTAACTAACAATATACAGGAAATTCTGAGGGTAGAGGAACATGTTGAAACTATGAGGATACAATCAGCCAAATCCAGAATGTTAGCAGTCTTTAGGACAAATGATCCACTTTCTTGAACAAATAAACAGTATGGGAAAATATAAAATGAGGAGAACTGTTACATATCAAAAGATTTAAGATGTGTATATACTAAATGCGGGGAGCTCTGGTAGCATAGTGGCTAAGGCACTTGACTGCTAACCAGACGGCTAGCGGTTCAAACCCACTAGCCACTCCTCGGAAGGAAGGTTGGGCAATCCTACTTCCGTAGTGATACTGCCTCGGAAACCCAAGCAGGGGTCGCTATGAGTCAGGTTTGACTTGACGGCACATAACAACAACATAACAATATACTAAATGCAGTATATAGACTGAATCCAGATTCAAATAACCCAATTGTAAAAAAAAAATTTGAGATAATTGGAAAAAATATCACATAGTCTGAATATTAGATAATAAACAACATTTTAAGAGATTCCATTTGAAATAATGTTTTTAAAAGGTTAAATCTTTATGGAAGTAGCTTGCCCCATCTTCCTTCTGTGGAGCAGCTGTTAGGATTGAACTGCCAACCTTCTGGTTAGCAATCAAATACTTCATGCAGTACAGCACCAGTGCTCTTTATCAAGGAGCAGAATTCGAAAATCCTGTCTTCACCTTGCCCTTGACGAAACAAAACTCCTAGCTTGGGAAAACAAAAAATAAATCACTAAATAGTGAAAGCTATATGGAAACTTTGATGTCTCCTGAGATGAATTACTCTAAACTTATGAGACATTTTTATATAAGATTCTTAGAGCTAAATGTCATCTAAAGCCAAAGGAAATATTTTTACCTGAGGTGGAACTACGAAGTTTTACACTCTAAAAAAGAGGAAGAAAAAGTGAGACAAGAATATGTACATAAAACTATACAAATTCAAAGCAATACATAGCATATTTGAAATTATATTTCATATACCAATAAAACTCAAACCAAACTCACTGCCATCAAGTCGATTCTGACTCATAATGACCCCCTTTGGTTTCTAAGGTGGTAAATCTTTACAGAAGTAGATTGCCCAGTCTTCCTTCTGCAGAGTGGCTGGTGGGTTTGAACTACTAACCTTCTCATTAGCAGTCAAATGCCTTAGATATAGTTATAGAATATAGACTCTATTTTTCCTAATTCATAAGTGTGCTGAGTTATAGAATGTCATCCTTAACTCTTGTAGTGATTGTTCTGTCCTACGCAATTAATCCTAAGTTGATCCCCTCTGAGTTATTTATTTCTTGCTACTTAGAGTATGTCCTTGAAAATTTACAAAGAAGGTAATTGTTGAAACTGAATAGTTATTTCATGACATTGGAAAGTGTGTGATTGTCTTTTCTCTTGGAGTGGCTGAAGATCAATACATGTGTGCATATTATTAACAATAATAGTAACAATACATTGAAATGGCAACTTAAAAAGGTAGAAGAGTACTTGCTTACCATACATTACAAAGTTAGGCACTTTTAAATGTTTATTTAGTTAATTACTTTTCTGATAGCTGATATTTTAAAATGATTGATCCATAGAATATATAGAAGTACATAATAAATCACTAGAAGGATAGGTTTTTCTTCCACAGCAGGGAACATTATTATAAAAAGTTAATCTTAAATAACATGCACATCTCTCATTCAAAAAATTACTCCCAGAATAAAACAACATGAATATGCAAAAATGTACGATTATAAAAAGGAACACATTATTTCAGTTAATGTTATAGCATCTACCAAATGACTAGTATGAATTACTACAAAATGACCATCTACTACATATGAAACATTTCTTATTTTTGCCTTATCCATCCTTCCAAACTCAACTCAGGTGTTTCCTCTTTCACTAAGTCTTCCTTGATCATTTCCAACCTGAAGCTATCTCATACACTCCAAATCTCTTTTAATATTTCATATGGCACTGACCATATTTGCCTTGTTATAATAAATATAGACAAAAAATAAAGACTTTTGTACATATGTTTTATCTGCAGTACTAGACTATAAGTTCCTCAAGGGCAAGAATTGTGTCTTACACATCTTTTTATCTCCCACTCCCTTTAGCATGTTGTCTTAAAAGTAGTACTCAGAAAACCAAAACCAAACTCATTGCCATAGAGTCTACTCTGACTCATAGGAACCCCCATTGGGTTTTTAAGGCTGTAAATCTCTACGGATACAGACTGCCTCATCTTTCTTTGCGAAGTGGTTGGTAGGTTCAAACCATCAATCGTTTGGTTAGCAGCCAAATGTCTTAACCACTGCTCTACCTAGCTGCTTAATAGTTATTGAATTATAGATGTTAAAATGCAGTAATAGAATCAGAAAAAAGTGATTGACCTTGCTTGGTCTAAGTCTCACAGAGTCGTCAAATTCCTTTGATTCTGATGCTCCACTCCATTCCAGTGATGTTCCCATTTTTACCTTCACAACTGAAGATAAGGGCTTGGGAGCACTAGGTGAGAATTCTCCTGGAGAAAAAGTAAATATGGCCCAATTTCTAGAAATGTTACTTAAGAAAGCAAATGTTACTCAGCAATTGCACATAGAACACAAAAAGGATGTGACAGGTAATCTGGTTCATCCACACTCACTGGATGTACTCACCAGCTTCCTCGACCACAATAAAAGATTCAGGTGTCCGTTCAGGCAGGGGAGGGGGAATTTCATCATCTATCTTTGGAGAGGTTGCTATTCAAAATGTCAGAAATATAATCACAATTTTTAATTAGAACAATCCAAAGAAAATTCTTACATTCTAATCTTGATTAAATTCCTTAAGGCACTATTAATATTTAAACTGGTACATACTCAAGGAAAAAGCAAAATAAATTCTCTCAACTCAAGTTGCAAACGACAGAGGTTTTTGCTTTTTCTTCAAAAATGTATTATTTCTGTTAAAAGCCCAAACATATTTTCATTGAATTCCTGAGTACATTACAAAGGGCCTCGACATAGCAAAGATTCAGTTAGATAGTGAATAAACTCATAAACATCCTATCATCTGTATTTCATTCTACATAGAAGCCAAGAATATGGATGCTTTTCCTTCTTGCAAAACAATAGTACAACAAGGTTTTCTACATTTCTTCTAGAAATGTTCAGAATTTTTATAGGGAATGGTTTTTTAAATGCTATTGCAAGAAACTTCCACCAGATGGCACACATGTCAGTGTTACACCAATCCTTAAGCTAAGGATTTTTTTTTTTTTTTTTAATTATGTTGATGCTGAGAGAAGTCTAAGGTATTATGGTCATGTAGAAAAAGAAAAGACCTTTAAATTTAAAAACAAAATCAAAGTATATAAAATGATCTAATCAACAAAAGAACTTCCTTGATCCAGATAAAATATTGTTACAACAAAGCTATAAATGAACTATCTATTAAGAAACCCTGTACAATAAATGATATAGAACAAGTTTTCTCTATTCCTATCCAGTAGAATTTTCTTTCTAAATTATCTGATGAAATACCTGAGTTTTAAACTTCCTCTTTGCTTCTGCGCACCTTCTTCCACCTAAATTCACTACCTTGGAGTCGGATCCCACTCATAGTGATCCCTCCTCAAGTTTCCAAGGTGATATCACTACGGAAGTAGATTGCCCAATCTTCCTTCTGAGAAGTGGCTGGTGGGTTTGAACCGCCAGACTTCTGGTTAACAGTCAAATGCCTTAGGCACTATGCCACCAGAGCTCCTAAGCTATTATAATCATCTCTAACTTCTGTTTTCAAATCACCCAGTCAAAAAAACAATGAATGTAATACACAAAAATCCACAATTACAAAAGAGATAAAGTGTGAAAGTAAAGGTATATATGAGATAAAAGTTCCCCACAGAATACTGAGCACTATTTTTATACACCAAGTTACTATAAAACGCAGGAACTTAAATCCTCTTTTTCCAACTCCTGCCGGAGGAAAATTCAATACTTAGCAATATGTGCCATTCATTGTAGTCAAATGATCGTACAACAAAAATTCTGGGTGGCCCACGGGGTGCCGTTGATCAAATCTTTTCCGTTGTTCTTTTGGAAACTGCTTCTCATTATGGGCCTATGAGATACATTTCTAGGAATGAGGATTACCTTCTTTAGAAGCATACCTGCTGGTATAGCTGTATCAAATCTGACTGCTCACTACTGCCTGTTTTGTAAAATATTGCATGTTTGCTATGTTTTTCTCAACTTATTCATATTAGTAAATTTTCCTGAAATTTATTTATTTGAAGTGGAGGAGAACTAAGAAGAAAGAGGGAGGAGAGGAAGAAAAAGGGGATGGGAGAAGAAACCAAATCCATAGAAAAGAAGTTAAATCTGAAATGGCATTCAAACTTTTGAAAATAACTTACCCACTACTACTGTCTCTTGGCTCAGCGGTGGGGGAAAAGTCATTGGATTGCGTGCTAAAGAATCATGTGAATCTGAGTAAGAGAAGAAGGTTGTAGAGGATGTTGGCAACAGAGAACAAGGGGAAACAGCTCCATCCTGCTTCTCAGGTAAATCAAGAGACATCTTAGAACCAAAACTACCTGGAGGCGATGGTGAAAAATAAGAATCTTCTACTAAAGACATGTGAGGATACACACTAAAATCACTAGGGTCATGCCGTTTTACATTAGAGGCATTACATATTTGGTGCTTGGGGTCATAGTGCAGTGAATAATTCAGTTCTTCTGAAGACACACGTGTCAGTTTTGGAGCCTGCAACTCCGTAATACAAGAATCGTGTGGTTGAGATTCCAAAAAAGAAAAATTTTCCTCGCTGTCCAACTCCTTTGTTTCTCTATGCTGTATCAATTCAAAGGGAGTTGATTTGGTCCGTATTATTGGCTGTTTTGGGTTGAAATGTCTTCCTGCTGTATTTCTAGGTTCTGAATTAGGACACGCCCCAAACAAAATGGAGCTCAAGTCCAAACTTTGATGCTTTTGAAGAGGCTCCCCGGCCACTGAAAATGACTTTGGCTCCCATTTCATGGCTCTGTCGACATTTTTGTTACAACCACAGTTTAACTCCAAAAAGTCAAAAGAAGTGCTCTGTTTAGCAGGGTGCAAAACAAGTTCTTCTCTTTCACTTATTTCAGAAGTCCTAAAGTCAAAGGAAGACGCCTCTGTTTTTTCCACCTTTGTCCTTTGTTTGTTCTGTTGGTTCACTGTCGTAGCTTCTTTTATGGAGCTAAAACAAAAAAAAAAGTAATGATGACACTGTACCACCAAAGAAGCCTCATCCAGTATCCTTTTCCCAGCATCATAATGAGTTATAGGCATGAGATTCACCTCTCAGACATAAGTAAACAGTATTTACATAATGTGTAAAATTGAACTCACCTTTTTGGTAAGCTAAGAGAGTAAGGATCTACTTCTAGAGTGGAATTTTGCTCCGGAACTGAATGCTTTGCTTGACTCTTTAAAAGAAATAAATTAGAGATTGGTTTTTAGTAATGTCAAAGGAGATATCTGGAAGATTAACCAAGTAAACTTTTTTAACTGATGCATTTGCTCATTTATCTGCTTTTATTACTGCTATTCAGAAGTCTGAGAAATAATTTTTTCAGAAAACATAAAAGAGTTAAAATAATTCATGAAAGAGTTAAAAAAACAAAAAAGCTCCCAAAATGCTGAACGTAGGAAGAATTTATTCGTACACTGAGGTCAAAGGACTAGAATGAAGGATTAATACTGTTATAGAATCTGGCTGCTAACCAGAAGGTTGGCAGTTCAAACCCACCAGCAGCTCCACAGGAGGAAGATAAGGCAATCTACTTTGGTAAAGATTTACTGCCTTGGAAACCCCAATGGAGGTCACTATAAATTGGAATCAGGTTGATGGCAGTGAGTTAGAATCTAGAGGATTTGCTTATAGCATTCAAATGTAAGAGTTTTAGCATGTTCTTGGGGTAACTTTATTCTCTAGATACCCCTACTTTAAGAATTTCATCATCTCAATCTTTAACATTAATAGGCGCCTTTTTGGTCCCTCTACCTATTTCTCTTATCTTGTTCTTCACTTCGCTTCACACAGGTTCTCTTGCCATTCCTCAAGCGTGCAAAACTCGATTCTAATTCAAGGTTTTTGCACTTACTGTTTCCTCTGATTGAAATACCTTGCTCCAGATTTTGCAGAGCTGACAAGTACTTAGCTTTCTGCTTAAACATCATCTGCCATAAGGAAAGCATTCCTGACCAGTCTAAAATGACACTCTCACAAACTGCCCTGTCACTCTCAATCTCATACGCTGCTTTATTTTCTTCATAGCAATTATCACTTTACATATTTGCTACTGTAGTTGATGGAATCTAAGATACCATTGATTATAAAAAAAAATTTTTTCAATCCTTTCACAGTTGTTAAATTTTTTTTTTTTTAAAAAGAAGTAGTCAGAGATGCTAAATTGTGGGAAAATATGTCTTTAAAAAAATACAATATTTTAATTCTTTTTATTTATGATCTATTTTCATAAATAAAATGTACACTCTTTTAGGGTGGGAAATTGTCTTGTTTATCACTATATCTTCAAGGTTTTAAACACTAGCATATAGATAAGAACATCGTAAATATTTGTTGAATGGATGAGCCAATTGATCAAGATCTAATTTTACTACCTGGCTTTTAAATCTCTCCGTGATCTAACCCTATCCTATCTAAATTATATTTTTTACTATTACCCCAATACACTATAGATGCTTAGTAATAAATTTAACTATTATTAAATTTGCTGAATTTATAAATTTAGTACCTAGTATTCTTAATAAGGAGATAATTTAATATTAGGAGTATGGACTTTACAATCAAACAAAGCTAAATTTGAGTTCTAGCTGTTTGTCTTACTAGCTCTGAAACTTTAATCACTTTAAGTCTCAGTTTCCTTCTACAAAATGGGGATAATTGGATATATATATATATTTTAATATAACCATTTTATTGATATATAATTCATATATAATATGACTCATCCATATAAAGTATATAAGTCAATGATTTTAATATATTCACAGAATTGTGCAACCATAACCACAATCACTTTTAGAACATTTTCATCATCTCTAAAAGAAACTCTGTACCTATGAGTAGTTAACTGTCATATCCCCTAGTCTTATCCTCAACCCCAGCCCTAAACATCTACTCATCTACTTTGTCTCTATGGATTTTCCCATCCTGGACATTCCATATAATGTAATATGAAAGTAAATAACATGTGGTCTTCTGTGACTGCCTTCTTTCACTTAGCAAATGTTTTCAAGATTCATCCATGTTGTGCCATGTATCAACATTTCGTTATATTTTATTGCCAAATAATATTCCATTGTATGGATATGCCACATTTTATTGATCTATTCATCTGTTGATAGATATTTGGGTAATAATATGAATTTATAAAGCTTTTGAGCAGATTGCATGAGAATGCTTAGAACAGTGCTTAGAATATGATAATCAGTAAATACAAATTTCATTTTGTATTAATGTTACTTATAGCATCTAATTTTTAGGATTTGGAGGACTTGAAGTTTTCTAAAAAAAATTATACTCTTTAAGCTATATTAACAGTTCAGATGTCAGGTACCCTTCTCTAACCTCATGAAGAGAAATTAATACAAGATAGTATTTTACATCCCCAAAAATATATGAATGATCCAGTTTCTCTGCATCCTTGCCAGCACTTGGTCACTACTTTTTATTTTAACCATTCTGATAGATGTGTAATAATATCTCATTGTGGTTTTAATTTGCACTTTCTTTTTCATGTGCTAATTTGCCATCCTCTTCAGTGAAGTATCTCTATATCTTTTGACCATTTTCTAACTGGTATTTTACTGTTCAGTTTTGAAAGTTACGCATATACTTGAAGTACTAACCCTTTCTCAGATATGAGGTTTCCAAGTATTTTCTCCCACTTTATAGTTTGTCTTCTCATCCTCTTAAGTCTTTCGTAGAGCATAGGTTTTTAATTTCGATGGAGTTCAGCTTACCAGTTTTTCTTTAGGTGCCAAATCTAAGAACTCTGACTAGCCCTAGGTCCCAAAGATTTTTCTTCTCTGTTTCTTTTTTTTCTATAAGTTTTATAGTTTTGCATCTTATATTTAAATCTGTGATCCATTTTGAATTAACTTTTGTATAAGGTGTTATACTTAGGTCAAAGTTAATATTTTTGCCTATGGAGCCCAGCCCCAGCACTATATGTTAAAAAGGCTATCTTTCATCCGATGAATTGCTTTTACACCTTCATCAAAAATCAGTTGAGCATATTTGTGAAGGTCCATTTCTGGGTTATGTATTCCATGGATCTATACGTCTATTCCTCTGTCAATACCACATAATCTTGATTACTATAGCTATATAATATGTCTTGAAATCAGGTAGACTGATTCATTCCACTGTATTCAGTTGCTTTAGCTATCCTACTTCTTTTGAATTTCCATATAAATTTTAGAATAATCTTTCTGTAACTATAACAAGTCTTGTTAGGAGTTTGATAGGAATCATGTTAACCCTAGAATATTAATTTTGGGAGAAATTGACATCTTTACTGTGTTGAGTCTTCTCATCCATGAACATGATATAAAAAAACAAAAAACCAAACTTGCTGCCATTGAGTCAATTATGACTCATAGTGACCCTCTTTGGGTTTCCAAGGTGGTAAATCCTTACAGAAGTAGATTGCCCAGTCTTCCTTCCGTGGAGTGGCTGGTGGGTTTGAACCACCATCCTTCTGTTTAGCGGTCAAATGCCTGAGGCACAATGCCCCCAAAGCTCCTTTGAACATGGTATAGCATTCCATTTATTTATATCTTCTTTGATTTCTTTCATTAGTGTAATGTAGTTTTCAGCATATAAGTCCTGTACATGTTTTATTAGATTTATGATTTATTTCATTTTTTTTGAGCAATTGTAAATGTTATTATATTTTTAATTTTGGTGTCCACATGTTCATTCGTACTATATACAAATACAATTGATATTTTCTTGTTTATCTTGTATCCTGTAACCTTGCTAAACTTAGTTCTAGGGGTTTTTTTTGGGGGGCAATTTCTGTAGATTCTTTGGAATTTTCTACTCAATCATGTCATCTGCAAATAGGGGCTGCTGTATTTCTTCCTTCTGACCTGTTTGCCTTTTATTTCCTTTTCTTGACTTATTACACTACTAGAACTTCAAACTCTGTTGATTAAGAGTGATGAAAGAAGACATACCTGCCTATTCCCAATTTAGGGGAAAAACATTTACTCTCTCAGCATTAGGTATAATGTTTACTATAGGTAGACTCTATAAAGTTGAGGAAGTTCCTGTGTATTCATATTTTTCTGAGAATTTTGATCATGAATGGGTATTGAATGGCTTTTTCTGTGACCATGGATATGATCACATTCTTTCTCTTCTTTCACTTGTTAATATGGTGGATCACATTGATTTTTGAATATTGAGCCAAACTTGTATGCTAGGAAGAAAGTCCATTTAATCATGATAAAGATAGATAAATACATAGATAGATAGATAGATAGTTAGGGAATAGATAGGTAGATAGATTATAGATAGTGCCAGAAGATGAACCCCACAGCTTGGAAGGCACTTGAAATATGACTGCAGAAGAGCTCCTCATCAAAGTAGAGTCAACCTTAATAATGTAGTTGAAATAAAGCTTTTAGGACCTCCATTTGCTGATGTGGCACAACTCAAAATGGGAAGAAACAGCTGCAAACATCCATTGATAATCAGATTGTGGAATGTACAAAGTATGAACCTAGGAAAACTGAAGTTGTCAAAAATGAAACAGAACACATAAAGATCAATATCTTAGACATTAGAGAGTTGAAATGGACTGGTATTGGCCACTTTGAGTCAGATAATCATATGATCTACTACGCTGGGAATGATAAATTGAAAAGGAATGGTATCACATTCATCATCAAAAAGAATATTTCAAGATCTATTCTGAAAAACAATGTTATCAGTGATAGGATAATATTCATACACCTACAAGGAAGACCAGTTAATACTACTATTATTCAAATTTATGTACCAACCACCAAAGCTAAAGACAAGGAAACTGAAGATTTTTACCAACTTCTACAGTCTGAAATTGATCAAACATATAATCAATATGTATTGATTCTTATTGGTGATAGGAAGGCAAAAGTTGGCAACAAAGAAGAATTACCAGTAGTTGCAAAATATGGCCTTGGTGATAGAAATGATGCTGGACAGTGCATGACAGAATTTGGCAAGACCAACAACTTATTCACTATAGATACATTTTTTCAACAACATAACGGCAGCTATAAACATGGACCTTGACAGACAGAATACACAGGAATCAGATCGACTACATCTGTGGAAAGAGGTGATGGAGAAGCTCAATATCTTCAAAACAAGGCCAGGAGCTGACTGTGGAATAGACCATCATCAATT